AACTCATCCAGGTGCACAGTAGGCACCCAGCACACACAAGCCCTGAGCCTGTGTGGAGGCCCTGCAGCCAGAAGTGCACAGGTGGGGCGCAGCACAGCCTGTGGGAGCCACTGGTGCCTCCAGAGGCTGTGCACTGGGAGGATTTCTGAATGCTCTGAGCAGAGCTCTAGGCTTGTTATCTGGTATTTTGCTTACATTCTGCAATGCTTGTACTTTCTCAGAAAGCACTCAGGATTTCTGGCAAAGGCATCTGGGCACTCTTAGTGCTGGATGGGCACACTCAGCCTATGATTTGCCCCTTCAGCTCCTGGCAGTGTACAGGAATGTGACAGTGGGATCACTGCAAGTATCCAGCCACCTGCCTCTTGAGAAATGCTTTCGTTGCTGTGTACTTTCCAGGGCTGCATTACTGGTTAGGGGACCTGGAGAACCAGGTGTAAATCTGTGCTCATGTCTGCTCTGTCTTACTTGTTAGGCTCCCCTTGAGGAAAGTGTTCTTTAGCGTCTCTCACCAAAGAAATGTAATTTTACACCTGAAGGAATTCATGACCACCAAAACAGCATTACAAAAATTCGCAAGGATATCCTAACAAAGAGACAATGAATACAACATCCCAATAGGTAAAAAAGAATAAATACATCCAGCAAGATGAGGATCTAAATAAAGTTAAAAACCTAGGGAAATCAGTAACAGGAAGTTATGGAATGACAGGAATAAATTGACCCCTCTAATTATAATTGAACATGAATGGTCTCAATTCTCTAGTCAAAAACCATAAATTGGCAGAATGGGTCAAGAAACAAAACCCAACAATAGGCAATGCACAAGAAACACATTTAATTTAAAACCTCACCTATTAAAAAGCAAAATGGAAAAAGAAATTCCATGTAATAGGGTATCAGAAAACAGTAGAACAATTGGATTTCAGACCAAGACATCAGAAAAGACAAAGAAAGCCATCATACTGGTTAAGAGAACAATTCAACACAAAGAATTAACAACTATATGCTCGATATGGTGTCATGGGCCTGTAATTCCAGCACTGGATAGGCTGAGACACGAGGATTGCTGTAAATTTGAGGCCAGCCTGGATTACGTAGTGAGTTCAAGGCCTAAATTACAGAGTGAGGCCTTGTTTTAAAAACAATGTTCATAAACATATACACACCAAATACTAGTACATCCAACATAAAACACTAGTAGACATAAAAAATCAGATAAACACCATTACAATTGTAATGGTGTACCTCAATACCCATTGTCACAAATGGACAGATCATCTCGAAAACAATCAACAAAGAAATATCAGAACCAAACCAATCCTTTAAACAAATGGACTTCATAGGTATCTAGTGTTCCATCCAACAAAAAGGGATTAACATACTTCTCAGCAGCACCTAGAGCTTTCTCAAAAGATGCAACATACTAGCCCTTAAAGCATACTTGAGTAAATGCAAAATAGTAGAAATAACCCCATGCATACTATCAGATCATAGTGCAACGAAACCAGAAATCAATGGCAAAAGACACCACAGAAATTGTGCAAACATATGGACATTTACTAATACCCTCTTAAGTAATCGGTGGGTCACAGATGAAGTTAAAGAAGAAATTGGACATTTCCTACAATCAAATGGCAATGCTAGTATGATGTAAGAGAATCTATGGGACACGATGACAGCAGTCCTTAAAGGGAAGATTGTAGTGGTGATTTCTCCCATCAAAAACAGAGTAAGTTCAAGTAAACAACCTGATGATATACCTCAAGGTTCAAGAAAAACAATACACATCGAAAGCTTGCTTAAAGATGGAAACCATAAAGATTAGAGTAGAAATTAGTGAAAGTGAGACTAAAAATGTAATCAAAAGAGCCAGTGAATCAAAGATTTGGGTCTTTGAATGATTAAACAAAATTGACAAATATTTAACTAATCTTACCAAAATAAGGAAAGACAGGACTCAAATCCATGCATCAGGAAATGAAACAGGTGAAATCACATGCACTGAGCCAAAATCCAGAACATTATTGGTAATAACTTTAAGAAACTGTACTTTAATAATATGGAAATTTCTAAAGAAATGGAAAAATTCCTACACATATATGAACTCTAAATACTGAAGCAAGAAGACAAAAAATCCTGAATAATCCAGTATTAGTCCCTGAAACTGAAGAATAAAAAACTACCAAGCAAGAAAAGTTCTGGTCCTGATGGATTATTCTATAAGAATTTAAGAGACGATCTCATGTTGATATTCCTAAAATTTTTTAATGAAATTAAAAGGGAAGATACTCCCCAAATCATTCTGAAACTGACATTACCTGATTCCAAAACCAAAAGTGGACCCATCCAAAATATAGACCTACAAGGTAATCTCGTTAATAAACACAAACATAAAAATGCTCAGGAAGATACCAGCAAACAGAATACAGCAAATTGTCAATCCTGAGCAAGCAGGATTCATTTCTGGGATGCAGGTTTGGTTCAAAAGATGCAAATCAGAAAACTGTAATACACCACATAAACAGAAACAAAGAAATAAAAAAGCACACGATCATCTCAATAGACACAGAAAAAGCATTTGACAAAATCCAATACCCATTTATGATGAAAATGCTGAAGAAAATAGGAAAAGAATGTTATTTCAGTCTGATAAAAGCCATGTATGACAAACCAATGGCCAAGATCATACAGAGAGAACCTGAAAGTTTTTCCTCTAAAATAAAGAATGAGATAAAAATTTCTAGTGTTCTCATTCCTGTTCAATATAATGCTCAAAACATTAGTTAGGGCAGTGATGGTGAATCATTTAGAGACTAAGTACCCAAACTGCAACTGAAAATCCACTTGTTTATCGTGATGTGCCAAGACTGCAATTCAACCTGAACACTGAGGTTTCAATTTAGAATAAACAACTGTTTTCCAATGCTCAGATGCTGGGGTGACTTGCTCATGTGCCAAAAGAGAGGGCTCTGCATGCCCCCCCCCATGGCATATGTGCCATAGTTTTACATTACTGAGCTAGAGTAATAGAGAAGTGAAATAAATGAAAAAATTGAGGATTCTGAAGGAAGACATTAAATTATCAGTATTTTCAGGTAGCATAATTCTCTCTATATAAAAAAATAAAACGCTTGGGGTTTAGCTCAGTGGCATAAGCACTCAGTGGCATAAGCTCGTGGCTGTGAGTTCAATCTCCAGCACCTTAAAAAAACACACAAAACTCCAGAAAAACACTCTTAGAATTAATAACCAAATTTGTTACCATAGCAGGATACAGTCAACACTCAAAACTCAGTCGCATTCCTGTACACCAACAACAAATTCACTGAGTGAAAAATTAGAGAGCCAATGTATATATGATAGCGTTAAGAAAAATGAAATAGAAATACCAGACCAATGAAGAGAAAGACCTGTGCAATGAAACTACAGTACTCCAAAGAAGGAGATTGAAGAGGCCTTCAGAAAATGGAAAGGTGTTACCTGTTCTTAGGCAGAATCCAGAGTCACAATGACCAGACTTCCAAATCTGTTGTACCGATTTAACACAGTTTCAATCATAATACCAATACTGATCCTCTGAAAGAGAAGACAATCTTAAAATTCACATGAAACCAGGAGAGATCTAGAGTAGCAAAAGCCTTGCTGGTCATCAGGTTCAGGACAGAGGACATTAAGGTCCTGAACTTCAAGTTAGAGTACAAAACTGCAATGATAAAAACAGAATAGAATTGGCAATAAACAAAACAAACAAAAAACGTAAACAGGTATACTACTATCTGTATTGTCTGCATTCCTCCTCCTTTGGTAAATTCTTCTTCTGGCACAATGGCACCAGCCCTCTGTACAGCATGTCACAGGGCAGAGAACTCATCTGTCATTCTGTTTAAATGTTCTTTTGTAAATGACATACATGCATGAATCTTCACCATAGAAATCACAGGAAAATAAGTACACTGAGAATTCACTGCTGTAGTACACATACAAATAGAGAGAATTATGCACCCTGGCAATCTCAGCGATGAGGCAGAAAGATCACCATTAGTTTGAAGCCAGCCAGGGCTACATAGTGAGTTCAAGGCATGCATGAACTGCATTGCAAGACTTTTTATTTTTATTTTTTGGTACCAGGGATCAACTCACTACTTCGCGCTTGCAAAGCAGGTGCTTATGCCACTAAGTGAAATCCCCAGCCCCTAAGACTATGTCTTAAACAACAACACCAACAAGGAAAAGTGCAGTGAAGATAACTACCATGATCACACATTGGGGGCCCAGTTGTCTGTAGCAACAAAAAGCTCCATCCACAATCTGCTTCTTGAAAAAGAACTGCATCCTAGAGCAGCTCTTCCATGCTATCAATGGGACTGTAGGCCTGGAAGCCAGGTGGTGCATTACTGAGCAGTGTTTTCCTCTGATTTCCCAACATTTGGCTCTCTGATTGTTAAACCAAACCTGAGGGCAGAGGGAAAGGGTGACTTGGTTAATACACAGAAAGGGATTCTTATCATTGAAAAAACATTGTGTAATTTCCTATACCACTGACACACTGCACAATAGCAGCTGCTTTATTCTAGCTAAAATACCTTAAAGGACGGGGGTGGACATCAGTGAAGGACCATAGGCCCCACCGGCCCAGGTCCCAGAGTGCATCTCAGGCACCAAAAAATGAAAGTAACTATAAGAAACATAACATCACACCTCCCCTTTCTTCTCACCCTCAGTAGCAGCTCTGTGCCCTGAACAGGAGAGGGTGTAGCAGGATTCCCTGACCTTGGAAACTCACTGTTCTTTATTGGTTTCTTCCAGGTGTTGGGTGTAGGCCTAAGTGATAAATTGGAACAGGTTGGTGGGTCTAAAAAGGCACCACTCCAGCCCCAGCATAAATGCAGGTGAAAATTCTAAAGACCTTAAAGGCAACAGAGGAAACAGGTGAGCATGACAAATCTGGTACTGGGGCATTCTGGGTGATAAAGGGCACCTTGCAAGAAACCCCATGAGTGTTTTGAGCAACTCTGCCTACTCAATATTTTTGCCAAAAAATCCACTGAGAAAACATAAATCCTTTCCAGTGATCACGCCATCTACTTTGGGGAGAAGGACAGGTTCTCCTTTTATCCCCGATGGGGGAACCAGGCGCCAGCACCTCCTTGGGATGAGACCAGTGGAGACTGGACCCCCTGCTCTGTGCAGACAGCGAGGAGCAGGCTTCGTGGTCTTCGGTACCTTACTGCCAGGAGAATCCCCGCTGCTTCGACCAGAAGCTCTCTGAGATGGAAGCCAGTGCGGGTCTTGTACCAGGTGTCCTTGGAGGCGCTGAAGGTGCTTACTTCAGTGGAAGGGCTCCCGGCCTCGTGGATGCTTGCCCCGAGGGCCATCTGGATTACTGTGTTAGTGGTGACAACGGCCACAACCAAGAGGCCCACATGAGCCAGGGACGTAACACTGACTGCAACGCGGATCTCAGTGACCAGGAGCCTGAGCAGCTGTCGCCGGCCAAGCAGGATCCTGCAGATACCCAGGGTCAACGGAGGGGCCGACCAAAGCGGTTAAGAAATGGCTTTGCACTGTGGCAGGTGCAGGAATTGGAAACTGTTTTCCAATACACTCAGTACCCAGATGTGTTCGCAAGGTGAGCTGCTGCCTTGGGGAGCCCCCAGGCTTTAGGAGAGATGGGCTCTTTCCTAGGGGCCTTTCTATTTATCTGGCTGCCCTCTTTTCCCTCTTGACCTGAGAGCACTTGGGGTCTTCACCTACCTGTCTTTGGTGCATTGGGTGGCGCTCATGTGGACCAAGGTGGAGATTTTACTATGTTATCATTGTGAATCCAGTCTGGAAACTGGTTGGTAGCTACTACTTTTTTGTGTTTGTATGTTGTGGTATAAGAGGCATAGACAGAAAATCTGCTACCTGAAGTGTGTTGAACCATAGGAAACAGTAGTAATGAATATTTTTGTGCTACCATGCAGCAGATCTTCAAACGTTCTTCATTTTGCAAAATCAAACTATCCATGTGAAACACTTCCCATATCCTCCATCTTCCCAGCTCCTCACAGTCATGAGCCTGCATTTTTACTGCATGAGTTTGAACTGTCTAGGAACTAGATGTCAGTGAAATCATAGCATTTTAATGTTTCTGTGCCTAATCATTCCACTTTGTATTTCCTCAAGGTTCATCCATAATGCTACATGTCTTAGAAGTTCCTTCCTTTTCAAGGCCAAGTAATATTCCCTTGCATGGATACATACACCCTTCACCCTTGTTTCTTACTCATTTGTGGAGAGGTTGTTTTTGTGAACAGTGCTGTTGTGAGCTTGCCTGACAAGTAGCTCTGAATTCAAAGTTTTTGAGACATCCTCAGAAGTGGAATCATTGGATCATGGAATTCTATGTTTCTGGTTTGAGGCATCAGCAGACAATTAACAAGAGAGTTTGCAGAAGCTGACCTTCCTTCTCACAGTGACCAAGGCTCTGGTTTCTCCCTGAGCTCAGCACACTTGTCATTTCCTAGGCTTTGCTAGTGGCCCAGATGATGGGGTGGTAGATATCCCTGTGCTTAGGGTGTCATTTGGAGCCTGTTTTCTCCTGCTTCCTGCTCCTCTCTCTAGCTTCCTTGGAGAAATGTCTCATTGAGTCCTGGCTGATGCCCAAACCTGGAGGATGTGATTTGTTTTTTGACTTAAGAGAAGTGTTCTGTGTCTCTATGAGGCCTGTTTTGGAAATACTCATTTTTCCCATACAGTTGATCCTTTTTCAGGGTCTTGACTTTGTCCTTTGACTCACAGAAATGTTTAACTTTGACATGATCCACTTTATTTTTGCTGTATTCCCTGAAGTAGTGTCTGTGTTTGTAAGTAAAATTTCTGTGGACTCTGGATCAATAGAATGAGAGTGTCATTCCATAGGTTTCCCATATTTAAAATTTGTACTATGTTTTCATCATAGATGTTTGCATTCGCTTTCATTTTTCAAAACAATGCATTAAAAATAGCTCAGAAGGTTAAGGCCAATTTACATTTGTTGAGAAGTTCAAAACATTTTGATAGAATTTTTTCTTGGAAATACAAAAAACATGATTGGAGAGCTATGCACAGTGAATGCAAACTTGAAAATCATTATAGAATCTGTATATGATATTTCATTCATCCCGGCCACTGAGTAGGAAATCCTTGTGAAGAAATGTCTCATTGAGTGCTTTCTGATGCTTAAACCTGGGTGATTTGTTTTGTCCACAGGCTTGTGTGTCTGCTTTATCTATTTTTCTTGTATTGCCTGAATTAGTGGCTCCTTTTGCCAATAATAGTAACTTGGATCCAGAGTCAAGAGAATCAGGTGCTGTCATACTATAGGCTTCCTGTATCTAAAATTGACACAAGGTTTTTCATCATAGATTCTTGCATTCATTTTTATTTTTTAAAGTAGTACAATAAAAGTACTCTGAGCTGTTAATGGCACCTTGGAAACTATTTCATTTTTTGGATTTTTTGTTAATTTTCATTTTTCTTAGTATGTGTTTATACTACATAATGATTACATTCATGGTGGGGATTTGGTACATGCACCTAATACATCTCAGTTCTTGTCTTCTATTCCTTCCCACTCATGTTTAAAGAAACACTTTTTGCCAGCATCTGATTCACTTGTTTGTAACACTCATTATCATGAGTACAGATTAGTAGCCTGCCTCATAGGCAAAAATCATGTGAAACACATGAGACAATTATGGAAAGCAAAGCAAACTATTGGGTTTATTGGTCATACTGGATTACAATAACTTCTTTGTCTTTCTTTTTTGGTATTCTAGCTATTTTTGCACTTCATTTCTATTTTGGGTTTCTCATAGTAGTGAAACCATGTGATATTTAAGCTCATGTGCTTGACTCACTTCACATTGTGGTTTTAAGGTGCATCCATTTTTTAACAGATGACTCACATTTATCCTTCTTTGTGGCAGAGTAGTAATCTGTTGTGTAGCAATACCACATTTGTGGATGCATTCATCTTTTGATGAGCATATATACTGCTTCCAAGATTTAGTTATCATGAATTCAACTACTGTAAAGGTTAATATGCATACATATTCTGACAAAATGTATTTAACTCTTTTTGGGAGGATACTTAGGAAATAGAAGGATCAAATCAAATTTCTAGTTTTAGCTGATGGAAGCTCCATCCTGATTTCCATAGAGACCGTACTGGTTACACCCTTTGGGACTGGCTGATTTCTTGGTGGTGACCATTGTTTCAGGGGTGAGATGAAATCTCAGTACTGTTTTAATTTGCATTTTGCAAGGGGCCAGCAATGTTGAACATTTTGTCCTGTATTTATTGGTCATTTGTTCTTTATTGTCTGAGAAGTATCCATTCATTTCAAATGCTCATTGATTAGTTTTTACATTTCAGATAATGGTTTTATTTCTGTATATATTTTAATTCTGTATATATTTTAGCTATCATTCCTGTGTCTGAGCAGTAGTAGACAATTTTTTCCCAGTTCTGAAGGTTATGTCTTCACTATTTTCTTTGTTAACTTTGCTGTGCAGAAGCCTCTTTAATTTGCTGTGATCCCATTTGTTAATTCTCATTATTTCTTTTTATTCCATTTGATTAGTACATGCTTGCAGTTCATGCAGTTTACATTCCTCTCGGGGAGTGCTTACATATGCACATTACAGCTTGTGTTTCCTTTTCTTTTAAATCCGCTTTCCCTTCCCTCTTCCTCTCCTCTTCCTCTCCTTCTCCTCTGGGTCTGCAATCATTTTTTCATACCTGGTGATACTGTTTTTTTCAGCACATGTTATGGCTTATACTATTTACATTGATTGGGGTTATTAGGATCCTGTACATGGCATAGATTTATTTCTCTCATTTCCCTTTCCCACCCCCCTCACCCCTCTTTTTATTCCCTTGGGCCATTTTCCTTCAGGAAGGATCTGTCCCCTTATGCTTTTTTATCCATCTTTTATCATTTTGTTTGTTTGTTCTTTGCCTCACTCACATGAGGAATACCATGTGGTATTTAAGGTTGCATGGTTGATTTACTTCACTCAGCATTTTGTGTTCTAGGTGCATCCATTATTCTACAAACATCCGAACTTTGTTGTTTTTTATAGCCGAGTAGTATCCATTATGTATAGGTACCACATGTGGCTTACCCAGTCATCTGTTAATGGATATACAGGCTGCTTCCAGGGTTTAGCAATTACAAATTGTGCTGCTATAAACAGTGTATGCAAGTACCGTTGTAGCAGCTGGGGGAAGATACCTACCAGAGCAATAGCTGGGTTATATGGGAATTTCTACTTTCAATTCTTTGTGAAATCTCCATATTAATTTCCATAATGGTTGTACAAATGTGCATTCTCACCAACTATGCAGGAGGGTTATCTTTCCACTGCAGCCACACTAGCATTTTTTATTATTTGATTTCCTCAGGATTATGATTCTTTCTGTAGTAAGATGGAATCTTGTGTTGTTTTAATTTGCATTTCTCTAATGACCAGAGCTGTTGAGCATTGTTTCACCGATTTGTTGGCTATTTGTAAGCCTGCCACTGTGAAGTATCTGTTCATTTCTCTTCCCCACTTCTTGACTGGGTCTTTAATTTTAGGTGGTTTAATAATTTGAGTTTTTTGCATAGTCTAACTATTAGTCCTCTGAGGAATAACTGGCAACAATTTATTCCAATTCTGTACATTGTCTCTTTACTCTACTTTGAATATTTGGCTGTGTGGAAGCTTTTTAGTCTGATATAATCCTATTTGTTGATTATTGCTGCCATTTCCTGAATGATTGAGTTTCTGTTTAGAAAATCCTTTCCTACTCCTATGCCTTCAAGTGCTTTACCTATTTTGTATTTCAGAATGTTTAATTTTTCTGTCCGGATGTTTAGATCTTTACTTAATTGTGATTTTAATTTAGTGTATGGTGAAAGAGAAGGGTCTGGTTTCATTGTTTCATCAAAGGACTGCAAATTTTAACAGCACCACTTTTTGAGTAGGCTATGTTTCCTCAAACATACGCTCTTAGACCATTTGTCAAAAATCAAATAGTTGAAAATCTTTGGGGAGGTTTCTGTATCCTCATTTCTGTTCCACTGATCCATGTGTCTGTTTTTGTTTCAGAATCATGCTGTTTTCCTCCCTGTTGCGTGTAGTACAGCTTGAAGTCTGATATTGCTATGCCACCTGCTTGGCTCTATTGCCCACGAGTACTTTGGCTATTTGGGGTTTGTTCTGATTTCATATGAATTTTAAGATTGTTTCCTATAGATCTGTAAAGTATGCTGTTGGTATTTTGATGTTTTAATTGGGACTGCATTGAATCTGTATAACAGTTTTGGAAGTATGGCCACTGAGAAGGTACTGGTTCTGCCTGTCCAGTACCAAGGGACAGCATATCTGTGACAAACCAGTGGCCAGCATCATACCAAATGGGGAAGAACAAGAACAAGGTAAGCGTGATGTCAGCATAACAGTTTTTGTGAGTATACCCTTTGACTATGTTGATTCTGCCTCAGAACAGTGGTTACCTCTTCTATTTTCCAAGTCTTGTTCAATCAACTTTTGCTGAGTACTGTAGTTTTCATTGTAGATGTCTTCCACTTCCTTTATTAAGTTCATTCCTAAGTA